TACTTTGAGCCGGTTTACCCAAATTTGGCTTATCGTACGGAACATGGGAGATGAGTGAAAAGAACTTAATTTTGGGTTGTTTTGAATTTCTGTGTACCCTATTCTAGTTGAAATTCTATTACTACACTATGTTTGTTTTGATTCGCTATGAAAGTTTGACAGATAACATCAGGGGTGTGTGGATTCATGCAGAACATGCAGGGGTGAGTGAAATAGCTTGGGACTGCTTGGGACTGCTTGGGACCGTTGTTCTGGTACTGAGTGAGCCAAAAATAATAATGATTTTCTTCGGGACCCAGTGGTCTTAGAGTTACCTCTATGGTGATACCAACAATCAATACGAAACTAACGATTTTAAATTGGCTCACCACTTTAGTAGCCTATTGGTCCCAAGCAAACGATTAACGTACCCTATTCTAGTTGAAATTCTATTACTACACTATGTTTGTTTTGATTCGCTATGAAAGTTTGACAGATAACATCAGGGGTGTGTGGATTCATGCAGAACATGCAGGGGTGAGTGAAATAGCTTGGGACTGCTTGGGACCGTTGTTCTGGTACTGAGTGAGCCAAAAATAATAATGATTTTCTTCGGGACCCAGTGGTCTTAGGTTACCTCTATGGTGATACCGTGCACGCGGTTATAATTACGGATTCTAATCCGAAATACTACGGATCGTAGATAGTGCGTTCACGTAAAAAGTTCGCGAGTGAGTGTTCGGAGATACCTGGTTTCTATCACGGACCAGCCATATTCCGGAATTTCAAAGGAACGGCGTACTACTGGATCAGGCCAAAAAAAGAAAAAAAAACCGTAGCCGGGAGAAGGATCCGCTTCAAGGAGCTGCCTCGAAACGCCGCTGTCAAACCACGTGGGTTGTGGAAATAGGAACCGGTGTACATCGAGGAACCGCCAAGAATCAATTCTCAAGGAACCCAAGAAGGAACCCCAACCACCGGACAATATACCCATCCCAGGTGCAGGTAGTCGCCGAGGCCCCAAGTTATTTCGGTCGGCTACACACGGCTGCGGAGCGGAGAAGCGGACGTTATGGAGGTATCAGCCTGGTAAGGTCCGGAGGGTTTGCCCCCGCTTTCCAGTGTTTGGTACTGATGTGCCTCTCCCCCTTCCGTGAGCATCTTCAGCAAAGGTATGTCGACAATGCAACTCTCTCTTTCTCTCCACCGCATGGGCCCCAACCGGAGCTGAACGGCCGCAACGTTCCCCTTTTCCTCTATGCCCTCCCATTACCCCCCCCCCCCCCTCCCCTCCTACCACCCCATGTATCCATGAATAAAAAAAATGTTAAATGAACTTGTGTGCGTCTTATAATTTCTAAAACTCGAGCCTTAGGTGCATGTCAAGTGTGTTCAAAGTGATTGTTTGTCTGGTGATAGGTCCACTTTGTCCCCCGACGAGTCTGCTTGGAGTACGTGGGCAGTCGGCCCGAGATAAGAGTAGTGCTGAGCTAGCCACAACTTACAAGATCACCTGACCAACACACAGAAAACCAAATCGATCACGTTCTAATCGACGGGAAATTCTTCTCCGACATTATCAACCTCCGCACGTACGGCAGTGCGAACATAGATTCGGACTACTACCTAGTTGCAGTATGCATGTGCTCAAAACTCTCGATGGTTCGTAACACCCGTCGAAGTCGAACGCCGCGACCCAACTTTGAGCAACTACGGGACGCCGGAGTTGCCCAGGACTACGCGCAGCAGCTGGAAGTTGCACTACCCACGGAAGAGCAGCTTGGCGCAGCTTCTCTTGAAGATGGCTGGAGGGAAATCCGTTCCGCCATAGGTAGTACTGCTGCATCGGCACTAGGTACTGCAATCCCGGACCGAAGAAAAGACTGGTTTGACGGCGAATGCAAACTGTTAGTAGAGGAGAAGAATGCAGCACGGGCGAGAATGCTGCAACACCGCACGAGATTGAATGTGGAGCGATACAGACAAGCGCGGAACAGACAAAACTCGGTTTTCCGAAGGAAGAAGCGTCAGCAGGAAGACCGAGATTGCGAGGCGATGGAAAATCTGTACCGCGTAAACGACACACGGAAGTTCTACGAGAAGCTAAATAGTTCGCGCAAAGGCTACGTGCCGCAAGCCGATATGTGCAAGGACTTGGACGGTAACCTTCTCACGAACGAGTGTGAGGTGATTGAGAGGTGGAAGCAGTACTATGACGAGCACCTCAACGGTGAAGCAGCAGAAAACGAAGGTGGCACGGCAACATACCTTGGAGCACGCGCAGAAGACGACAGGCTACCGGCCCCTGATCTTCAAGAAGTTGAGGAAGAGATCGGCCGGCTGAAGAACAACAAAGCAACTGGTGTAGATCAACTACCAAGTGAGCTATTAAAATACGGTGGTGAAGCACTGGCTAGAGCGCTGCACTGGGTAATTGCCAAGATTTGGGAGGAGGAGATATTACCGGGGGAGTGGATGGAAGGTGTCGTATGCCCAATCTACAAAAAGGGCGACAAGTTGGATTGCTGCAACTACCGCGCGATCACACTGCTGAGCGCCGCCTACAAGGTACTCTCCCAAATTCTATGGCGCCGCCTGTCACCATTTGCAAGAGAGTTCGTGGGGCAATACCAGGCGGGATTCATGGGTGCCCTTGCTACCACGGACCAAATTTTCGCGATTAGGCAGGTTCTGCAGAAATGCCGCGAATACAACGTGCCCACACATCATTTGTTCATCGATTTCAAATCCGCATACGACACAATCGATCGAGATCAGCTATGGCAGATTATGCACGAGTACGGATTTCCGGATAAACTGACGCGATTGGTCAAGGCGACGATGAATCGAGTGATGTGCGTTACTCGAGTATCGGGGACACTCTCGAGTCCCTTTGAACCTCGAAGGGGGTTACGGCAAGGTGATGGACTTTCGTGTCTGCTATTCAACATCGCGTTAGAAGGTGTGATCAGAAGAGCTGGGATAGACACGAGTGGCACGATCTTCAGAAAGTCCATCCAGCTTCTTGGCTTCGCCGATGACATTGACATCATGGCACGGAACTTTGAGACGATGGCGGAAACGTACATCAGACTGAAGGCTGAAGCTAGGCGAATTGGACTTGCCATCAACGCATCAAAGACAAAATACATGAAAGGAAGAGGTTCTAGGGAAGACAATGTTAGCCTCCCACCCGAGTTCAGATTGACGGTGACGAAATCGAGGTGGTCGATGAGTTCGTGTATTTGGGCTCACTGGTGACCGCCGAAAATGATACCAGCAGAGAAATTCAAAGACGCATTATGGCAGGGAATCGTGCCTACTTTGGACTCCGGAGGACGCTCCGGTCGAATAAAATTCGCCACCGCACGAAGTTGACTGTCTACAAGACGCTGATTAGACCGCTGGTGCTCAACGGCCACGAGACCTGGATCATACTCGTGGAGGACCAACGCGCCCTTGGTGTTTTCGAACGGAAGGTGTTGCGTACCATCTACGGTGGAGTGCAGATGGATGACGGAACGTGGAGGAGGCGAATGAACCACGAATTGCACCAGCTGCTGGGAGAACCATCCATCGTCCACATTGCAAAAATTGGGCGACTATGGTGGGCTGGGCACGTCGTAAGAATGCCACACGACGACCCAGTGAAAATGGTTCTAGAAAGCGACCCAACAGGAACAAGAAGAAGAGGCGCCTGCGGACCCTTCGCAGACTACGAGGCTGGCGAAGTGTGGCCATGGATCGAGTAGAGTGGAGACGACTTCTTCGGACAGCAGAGGACAACAAGGCCTTGGCCTGGTAAGGTAAGTAGAACGCGGGATCGTTATCACTCAGACAAGAAGGTTGATTAATTTCGGAGCACTTGCGCCACCATGGCAATGGCGCTGCCAGCGGCATGTGATCTCGACGGAAACGACACGCAAGGTTCGACGTGGAAAACTCAAACGCTGCGCGCTTGACAGGAACCGTTCCATTCCTACTGCTGCTGCTGCTACCTGATGCTACCTGGCACTAGGTAGCTAGGGAGGGGCGAATGCCATTTCACCGAAAGTCTTTATGTTGCTGGGCTAAGAGGGGGCAGTTGCCCCCCTCTGGCTACGCCTATGGATTCAAGCAGCACGATGTGCAACTAAATGGTACTTGATTATGACGACTGGACTTGGGGAGAACGTGTATTTCATGAAAACAGTGATAAAATTATCACTTGTTATTTGTACATTTTTCTACAGTTTTTTATAAAATTAAATGAGCGTTTATTGTAGCAGATTATCAAAGTTATTTCCTATCGATTGGTGTATTTGGATTTTAATTTAATCTATAAATGACAAAGTTCAAAACCTTTCGTGACGGTCGCAATTTTAGATTTTCGATTTACCCCCAGTACCTTGCCGTAAGACGTAGTTTACGTCAAACATACCAGCCTTGTCGAAACAAACGCTCTAAGAAACGGCGAAATTATTGTATAACACCGGCCGAAATGTTTTAAGGTAAGTATTAATTGCATGCGGAGTCGGTTTTCAGTCGTCTTCAGCTTCAGTTGAATGAATCTGGAGCAGGTAATTTCCATTTTTTATCAAAACAAATAAAGATACAAACTTGCTGGCTGAAAATATCACAGAGGGGTTTTGACCGAGGTTTTGACTCACTCTGTGCGAGAACGTCGTTTACTCAAAAGTGAGTAAAAGTGTGTTTACTTACTTTTGAGTAGCCATACTTCTCGCTGAAATGAGCATGTTCGACTAATTTTGAGTTGTTGCGAGTTACCGTGTACAAGCTAGTGGCACCAGCGTTTTTGTATTGATCATATATGATTACGTTGCACAAAATACACTTTTAGACAAAGATGGTGTTTTCAATTTTTGCTGCAGTTAAATAAGGGTTATATTGAATATCATGAAGTCACAACTATGGCTAGTAGCATTGTTTATCCTTTCGTTTCAATATCACTATGAGAGAATACTCTATACTATAGGGTGATAGAGAAGAGTTAAATCTACTTAAACAAAACTAAGGCTTACATCATCAATATCCACAAATCTTGGATCACCTATCAAAGAACGTTTGCCGTAGGTATGTTTAAATGCCTCTATTATACGGTGGTATGTTATTATAGTAGACTTAACAGTTGAAAGATCCTCAGGCTTAAAATTATAGTTCTTCAAAATATTGACAATAAAGCTAAGAAGAATACCGCTGGCAGGTGGCGGAACTACATACATTGTATCACCATTGATATCAATTGGAATGGAATCGTTCCACAGTACTCTGAAAATAAATTTATGAATTGTTGTCGTCAATCTTTTCACTGTACTTATTTTTTACTTACTCATATGTTTCAAGGTCTTGTTTTGTAATAATACTACCCATATCTTTTAAATCATCTGCAAATTGTTGTAGAAGTTCACCTTCATATAAAGAATTTCCTCCATGTTCAGAAATATACTGAAGTGTTTTACAGAGCTGACCAGGTTTTATTTTAGTTCCTGGCTTGTAGAAAGTTCCCGTTATTTCATCAACATACATTTCTCTGCAATAAAGATGAGAAGAATTTCAAGAGATCCTGCTGCATTTTATTATATTGTGCCGTGTGTGAATTAAGGTTTGTACCATCCCTCAATTCTAAAAAATCTAAAACAATATGAAAATTGGCATTCAGAGTAGCTACACGCAAAACAAATTTCGTAATGTTGGATTTATTACATCATCTGAATATTCTACATACAACAAATGCAATGAAAGTTCTTGCAATGGATTGCAGCGTACAAGCAAGTTTTTCCAGAATACATATTTTTGTATAAAACTTCATGAGAAAAACTTCTAGAAGCAATCCATTCGGAAAAACAACTGTGTTCGAAAATTAAGCTAACAGAATAAATACAAAATTATTCAAAAAACCTTCCTGTGACCGCATTCCAGAATCTGTTCATGTCGTGAAACATTGCAAATTCTGCAAACATATTATGCAAATCTGTATTAGAATCTTAGATTGCCCAGTTGGGGGTATGTGTACTTCTGCACGCAGATTTTTTTTTTTTCATTATTATGGACATTTTAACACTCTTGGGTTATTCGTGACTTGTCCGGAGGTGAGATTTGAACTCGTGACTTTGGTGTGAGAGGCATGTATGCTAACCACTACGCCGGGGCGCCCAAAAAAAATATATTAAACGTGATAATATTTGACGTAAAACTAATCAGAAATTCATTTTGTTTTGGCTGCAAAAAGAAATCATTATTGTTTCAACAATCCAGTATTTTTGTTTCTCAAAACCCATGGATTGTTAAATCAAAAAGAAAATCTTTTCGAATTTACAAGAGCTTTCATGGTTTTGACGTAAGCTGTCAAATTTGGCAGCTGGGTCAACAACAAAAAATATGTTTGTTTTTAAAAGAGATTTCTTTTTTATTCAATCATATATATATTTTATGAAGCCTGAAAATATACGCAAAAGAAATAAAAATATGTTTATTTATTCAATAATAATTTGCGATTATTTTTAAGTTTTGTTTTATGTAGGTAACAAACATAATTGCAATTAAATTAAAAAAAAAACCTGTCTGAGGCATAAAATCTCTGATCACGCCTTCCTTCGGAAAGGAAGTAAAGCCGTTGATCCCTGGTTCATGAGTTGATGGATCGTTAGGTAGGGTCCAGGCACAGACAAACAGACGTAACACTTCATTGTGTATCTTCGTTCACGCATTTAACGGACGATTTGAATATTATCAGTTCCGCGAACTACTCGTCGTAGCGCTGACATCGGATCACTTTGACGTTTCTATACATTCTATAGAACTTTTATGCAATATTGTTTGCGAGTTAGCGAGCAATCTTGTTTTCCGCGAGAAGCCAGAGAGATGTCGTTACTGAGGTCCTATGTTTTGAGATACTATGTTTTCAAGAAAAACTTTTTCAAAGTGTTACGTCTGTTTGTCTGTGGTCCAGGTGTGCAGGAGCTGCCTTCCTGACGTCGGGAGCATTGGTACTCAGTACGAAAACAAAATCGACGGAAAATATAATCAAGAAAAACTGTTTATATTTAGCAACTGCAGCATACTTACTTACTTCAAGTCTCAAGATTTTCGGAAATCTTGCACTTATTTCCCGAAATTCACAGTTAAAAACAATATTTACGTTGAACGCGGAAAAGAGCTGAATCAAACGAGAACAGTTTTGTGTTATTGTGTACATTTTGGTCTGGGTGAAAACGAGGGAATGGTTGGTAATTATTTTTGCATTCATGACCCGGGGAATGGACACAACAAATAAATGCTAAATTAAAATTAACTATAGTTGGCTTAGTAAAAGAATATTGTTATTTTTACAATAGTTGCAGTTGAAAAGTGGCTTATTAAAACAAAAAGAATCGTATTTTAAGTATTATCGAAACAATAAAATGCAATATAATTTCAACCGGAATTGTTTGTTTAAATACAACTAAAGATTCTTTTTGGTTCAATGCAAACAATTTTCTGTCCGTGTGAGAGAGCCTCAGATAGTCAAATAGCCAATAGCTGAGCGAAAAAGTTGAGCACGTTTCTTCGGGACCTACTAGCATAGAGGTGACTCTAAGACTAGTAGGTCCCGAAGAAACGTGCTCAACTTTTTGGCTCAGCTCTGGTACTATCTTCGGTCCCGAGCTAATCGATGCACCCCTCGAAACATAGGAAAATCCCCGAACCCCTCATTTTATCTGTCAAACTTTCATAGCGAATCAAAACAAACATTGTGTAGTACTAGAATTTTGACTAGAATGGGGTACATTAATCGATTTGCTTGAGACAAATAGGCTAGTCAAGTAGTGAGCCAATTTAAAATCGCTAGTTTCCACCTGAGTGGTGCGGAGAAACACGAAATGGTTGTCAAAAAGAATCCAACTGGTGCTGTCAAAAAGAATCCAACGATCTAGAGCTGCTAAAAGTGATACTTTTCTCATACAATCCCCGTCGGCAGAGAAAGTATTGTGGTCAATGTTGAAAATATTGTCATTTCGGCATTTTTTTACTAATATTCTTCAACAAAAAACTTGCTCAAATACTCGGATGTAAACAATGTAACGAACGAACGAACCTGCACGAACTGCTGAAGGAAGAATGCAAACAAACTTTATAAGAGTCATGTGGGTAGGTGCACTCCCAACACCATGTACACGTTATTTATGGAGCAAAGGGTGAACTTTCGACAGCATGTATATGCAAATTGTGAGCAGTGCATTAGCAAAACAATTTGTGATATCGGAAAATTTTCAAGTTGTTTCCTGCTGACTTGCAAAACAAAAACGGCTGTGTTCGCAGTACCCAGGTTTCCACTGGTTGCTACTAGTCTTAGAGTTACCTCTATGGTAATAGAAGTTACTCTAAGACCAGAAGCTCCCGAAGAAACGAGCTCAACTTTTGGCTCAGCTTGTGACCGACGACTTTCGGGTCACAATAAATTGTTTGGTGGAAAGGCTAGTTGGAGGTTTAGACACACTGAAAAATTGTAAATATTTATGTTTTGTGTCGTCTAAGATTTCCCTGGTGCTCGTATGTCAAATAAATGTCTGTCTCCGCTTTGTATAGTGTTTGAGTGACGTTTATTTTTCATTTTGTATTTTAAGGGTGTGTATAATTTACTGTACATTTAAAAGATGGCACATGTAATGCCCACCTCAGACGGTGACCGTGGCTAGAGCAGTTACCAGAGGCTTAGATGGAGGTCCTTCTGACCTCTGAAAAAAAAAAAAAACAGTTAATTGTAGACTTCCTGGTTGGTGCAATTTCCAAACCTACGACTGGATGCCTTCCTTCAAATAACAACTGAAGTGCGGTAAAAAATCGGTAGAACTGTTTCAAACACACAGTTGGTACTTGAGCGGGTCGGTTTTCATCTCTTTTTGCCAGTGGTGGTGGGGGGACACACCCCTCACCATCCCTCTCCAAAGGGGGGAGTTTGGTAAAGAGAGATGAAAAAACCGATTTGTACCTTCCTTAAAAAGTTGTCCTAGCTCGCTATATTCTAATATCTATATGCAATCTTCACACTGCCGTACTCTAACGGAACTATCAACTCTATGCTTTCATCTACTCCATCTATCGTATAAAAATTACCACTACAGTCTGTTATTTGAAATTAGCATCTTCAACTATGTAAATCGTTGACTTCACGTAGAAGTAATACTAAAACATATAGTCAAAGTACATAACTCTGGATGGGAGCATACCATCAATTACTGTCAATGGTCGAAAGGTACAGTAGCCCCACCCGTGTCCCCTCGAGATCGTCAAGTCGACGATGACAGGAGCACATATCGTGGTAGGGGTAAACAATAGTTGCAATTTCCAAACCTACGACTGGATGCCTTCCTTCAAATAACAACTGAAGTGCGGTAAAAAATCGGTAGAACTGTTTCAAACACACAGTTGGTACTTGAGCGGGTCGGTTTTCATCTCTTTTTGCCAGTGGTGGCGGGGGGACACACCCCTCACCATCCCTCTCCAAAGGGGGGAGTTTGGTAAAGAGAGATGAAAAAACCGATTTGTACCCTCCTTAAAAAGTTGTCCTAGCTCGCTATATTCTAATATCTATATGCAATCTTCACACTGCCGTACTCTAACGGAACTATCAACTCTATGCTTTCATCTACTCCATCTATCGTATAAAAATTACCACTACAGTCTGTTATTTGAAATTAGCATCTTCAACTAAAAAAACTGCAGTTGAAGTGAACAATGTACGTGGTCGAGCGGACAGTGAAAATAGTGGTATTGCGTAAAGATTGTGTCTGCCCGTCTCACAAATGGTGGTGCAGCTCGCTTGATGACCACTTAAGAAAAACAGTGTATACACGAACGGTACCACTCCCCGGAACAGAACTCTGGCCCACGATATGAGAGCCTTACCGCTAGTGAATCCCTTGTCAAGAGTGGGAACAGTGAAGCTCAGAAGTGCCCCGAAGACGAAGAAGAAGAAGAAGAAGAATGATTTCGTGAAGAAGCGTTCCGGAGATCAACGAAGTCCCAACCACTTCCAGATGTTCCAGAGCAGGTCAACAATCGGCCGCAACGGTGAGCTCACGGCATGGTTACAAATAAAAAGTTAACCTACATAAAAATTACTCGCTAATTTCTCTTAAAAAATAAAAATGTCTGGCCTTCTAAACCTCAACTGATTATATGTTCTAATTTTTGTTTGTGAAGAAAATCTTGTTTTCCGCCATCTTCATTGTAAATTCCGCCTTTCCACCAAAAGTGGGATGAAAGTTTGCCCCATTGCAATTTCTCCTGGAGATCAATTGTATATACGACCCTGAATGGCAAGGTAGGTAAAGCACCTCTTACATGCCTTAACCATACAAAGACTTAACTATCAAGCTCTGGTACTATCTTCGGTCCCAAGCTAATCGATGCACCCCTCGAATCATAGGAAAATTCACGATCCCCTCATGTTATCTGTCAAACTTTCATAGCGAATCAAAACAAACGTAGTGTAGTACGGGAGTTTATAGTAGAATGGGGTACGTTAATCGATTTTCTTGGGACCAATAGGCTAGTCAAGTAGTGAACCAAATTAAAATCGTTAGTTTCAAATTGATTGTTGGTATCACGGTATGGTATTACCAGGGGGTGGAAACTAACG